TTATATATGATTGATGTTGCTGCAGCAAACGCTATTGAATCTATCGTTATATCTCTAGAAACAAGCAAGATGCAGCCATTCATACAGATGGAGTGGTCGCCGCGTAGCTGCTGCGGTATACCTTTGGGTGTATCTATATCTTCTTTATCTGCATTAGGTGCATGCACGGGCTCTGCATGCAGCAGCAGCAGCAGCAGCAGCAGCAACACTCTTATAGCGCTCGAAAAAAGACAAGGATTGCTGCTGCTGCTGCAGCCAAAGAGAAGAAGAATATGGGATCTGCTGCAGCCAAATTTTGATAGAATTGATAGAAATGTTGAAGCAATAGAAAACCCAACAGAATTCGATGCTCTTCTCTCACCACAAGATAAACTCAATGATCCTCTCTATCAGGTCAACTCCCTCTTGCTGCTGCTGCTGCTGCTGCTGCTGCTGGTTCTGTTTTCTTGTGTTTTTTGTTGCTGTTTTTCTTGCTCTTGCTGATGCTGCTGCTGCTGCTGGTTCTGTTTTTTTGTTCTTTTTGTTGCTGTTTTTGTTGCTGGTGCTGCTGTTGCTGTGCCGTTGCTGTTGTTGCTGTTGTTGTTGTCGTTGCTGGTGCTGTTGCTGCTGCTGCTGGTGCTACTGCTTTTGGTGCTGCTGGTGTTTCTAGTGCTGCTGTTGTTGCTGCTGTTGTTGCTGCTGTTGCTGCTATCCATGCTGCTGCTGCTGCTGCTGCTGCGTTGCTGCAGGCGTTGCGTCGATTCATCAGCAGCACCGACCCTGTCACTGGCCTTCCCCCCTGTAGCCCCCCTTTCTCTGTGCCGCCAGTACAAGGGCCTGTAGCAGCAGGAGGAGCAGCAGCAGCAGCAGCAGAAGCAGCAGCAGGGCCGCTGCTCTGGTGCGCGTTTGAGCCTCTATCTGCTGCTGCTGCTTCTTATGCTGCAGCAGCAACGCTAACAGATAACGACGGAGAGACGCAGCTACAGGATCTTGCTGCTGCTTTTGCTGCAGCGTTGCAGGGGAAACCAACAGCAGCAGCAGCAACAGCAGCAACAGCAACA